GTAGTTAAATCCTACTTACAAGCATTGTGGGCCATAACCTGCAGTCTTCGCATAGGCTTCATTCACAAGCCACTGAAATCAGCAGGATAGTTTTCTCCAACAGGACTGCAAGAAGTGGCCTGACAACTAACCAGTGCTGAGTAAAATGAACACGATATATTTCATTCTGCCGTTCTTGCATTATCATGACTGTTAGAAACTCAGCGACACATAATATTGCTCCAACCTTTATCAGTTTATAATTTATGTGGTACTATTTGGCAAATAATCCAATATAATAAACTATAATAAGGGAATTGTATCTTACTGTGTGATACTGTAATTAAGGACATGATTATAAAGCATGAGTACAAAGTGTGTAATTAAGGACATGATTATAAAGCATGCAGGCAAGGTAGATTTGTTTGTGTGGCTGCCTTACCAGGGAATTTCCAGTCTTCAAGCCAGACCCTGCAAACAGTCAGCTGAGCAGTACTTATGCAATATGGCTTGACCCAAAGCTACTGAAGTTAATGGGAGTCTTTCCATTGACTTCAGTGCCATTATGGGCCAGATCCAAAGCACATTGATGGACCTTTTCATGTGAATAAGGAAGTAGTCACAGGAACTGGTCCTTGACTTGGAAAGAACAAGGCTGTTTACATAGCATGTGTGTTGGGGGTAAGGGTAACGTGGAATCTTACTGGCAACATTCAACTTTTTTTAAAGTCATTAATGTCAATTCTTCCTCCGAATTAAAAAAAACAACCACCAACAATTGTACATACCATGGAACTTTTTTTTGACGGAGAATGAGAATTTATTCATGATCACAGCCGTTTTGTGCTTTCTCCTGGGATCATATACGCCAAACTATAGCCTTTTTACAGCAAAACAAGTGTATAAAGAAAATACCCGTGATTGGGTTTTGCTTAAAATATGAATGAATGCCACATTTCAGCATAGCCCGTGTGAATTTTATGTATTTTAACTATGTTACTTAATGCGCTTGACCCTTTGAACACCGTTCTCGATTAATGAAGCTCCCACTCTTGTATAGAATGGCTGAAAGTAGCAAGTGATGCCCATTGCAGCAAAATGGAGTAACCAAAACGGACCATTTATTTTCATAGACTTAAATATACTCCTTTAGATGACTAGCAGAACATTTCCTTTGGAAACTCAGGGCGACGTGCAAAATTTACACACTGCGTGGTGAGTGTGTGTTGCTCTTGCAGTGCTGTCGCTCCTAGGCGTGGGATGGCTGAACTGAAAATGCCACATTTGAACAATCACAAAGAGACAACAGGCAGAGATAATTTGTTCAGAAAAAGGATAACTAGAAAATAATATTATTAAAAGGATAATTGGAGTTTGGCTTGTACCCAAAAAAAAAATCTGAACAAAATCCTGTTTTCAGGATGCTGTTATACAAGACGAGATGTGAAACTTTCTCTGGAGCTTAGTTATACATTGTACTGTGTCAGTTAAAATATTAGTACCACAAAATTTTAAACTGGGCCCATCTCTGTTTTCCCCATAGAAGAGGAACAGAGTCTCACACTGAAATATGAACAGCTAACTACTTAGCATTGTAAAAAAAGAAAATACCCGGTAGAAAAGGGAAGGAGAGCTCTTCCCTGCATGCCCTCACCGCTAGTCCATTGCCATACACATAGCTTGTCCTCTGCACATCAAACCAGCTTGTCATGATCCCTATCCCGCAAGATTTCTTCTTTCAGATGATTAATCAGACAGTAGTTAAGTCATAACTTCCAAAGACGAACTGCTCTTGAGCTGTGCAAGGAACTAAGGATGATGTTACAGGGGAATCTGGTAAACAGCCTATAAGAATATGGATAATGTACCAGCATACTCAGGTAAGAAACCCACTGCAGTGCTGTGTGTCAGAGGAGGGGGGGACAAATGAGGGAGAAGTCAATTTCAAAGACACAGGAAGGAAGAACCATTAAATATCTGTGAAAGTCATAGAAAGTAATAAATCCAATCACGTTAAAACAATGCAGCTAGTACTTCAGGAGCTCAGTATTGTAAATACTGTTTAAGCATTACTGGCCTCCAAACCTCCATTGGTGCAAGAGCACCCCTATGTATTACTGCAGACCAGTGTTACATAGCACTGTATCCCATGGTGACTTCATTAAAGGACTAGTTTGAAGACACTATGGATTTGTTGAAAAAGATGCTTTTTAACAGAATAAAATCTCTGATTTTCAGCAGAATTTAAGTTCTCAGTTTAATGAGCCTGGAGTCCAAGTACATGGAAGCAGTGGACTCAAGAGGTTAAAAACAATATGCTGTTATCTTGAAACAGAGTGCAAGAAAGAGATAAGTAGCATCAGAAAAAAGACTCACTAAATATATCAGTTTAACTATTCAAACCTGACACATCACAAAGCAGGTAACAGTGAAATTTGTTTCTATGTCTGGTAACCAACACGGCTGAAAAGTCTTTGATTTTTGCATTACTCACTTGGTGCAACTGTAATGCTTTAAATCATTCTTGAGCCCTGCTTGGCATTGCACCACAACTCACTGCTAACCAACTGTAGCAAAGAAGCTGAGGGGCGACATTGAAAGGAGAAGCTGCAAAGGCAACCAGAAAAGGAATTCCTGCTCATCTCTGATCCTAAAAGCTTGTCTCAGGTTAACTCCCTGAAACCACTGTCATGGGCTCGAGACAGAATTATACTCCATTTCTGACATAGGTACTGTCCTCAACACTATCATCCCCATTCATACATACTCCCCATGAACCAAAATAAACTGGCGTGTAAGATTTTAAACATTCTTTAGGTTCTGCCACCTTGTGGGAGTTTCCTTCCAACTTTTATGAGCTGCAGAGCCAACATTAATTTAACGTCACACTGTAGAACATAATTCCCAGATGCTGTGAGTAATAGTATGAAAGATAATATGAGTAGTAGTAAGCCTGCAGGACCACAGTGAAATTCACAAGACCCACATTCCTGTTTGAAGTTAAGCACTGAGAATAATTGCCATTTGGAAGCAGTAGCAGCTTTAGAAAGTTACATGCAAGATGCTGCATGCTACTCTGCTGCCAAAAATAAATATTCGATTTCCCCTCTCTCATCTCTTCTCCCAACACTCAAAACACAAGTAACTGCGCACCACCGCCAATCTTACACCCAGAATGATGGATGGAGGACAGAGGTGCTGCTTTAAAGTTTATTGGCATTTGGTCTATTTCACCCCCTCAGTCAGTGCATCAGACATCTGATTTATGCTGCTGTTCCTTGCAAACAGGTAATCACCAAACAGGGCTCAAAGTGATTTGTATTCTT